ATTCTTATGTTGACCAAGAATTCATTTGAAATCTCCTTGAAGGGCAAAACTTGCTTGGAAGTCAAGTCACTTTCACAGACAAAATTTCAGACACCTCAGATGACCTGTAACTTGCAAGGACCATAACTTGAGTTCTATAAATCTCCTTGATGTCTTCCACCACTCAAATTAAAGGTTTTGAGATCTTCTACAAGTTTCGTGTTGGCCAAGAAGCCATTTGAAGCTAGCATTTTGACTTATCTTGCTTGGAAATTTGACCTAAACTAGGGGATTTTACACAGAAACCCTAATTTAGAAACTCCTCTTCTCCTTGATTTCTCTTGAATTCTCCTTGGCATATCTCCATATCCTTCTTTATATGACAAATGATGAACCCCACATCTCTCCACTAGACTTGAATGCCCCTTAAATCAGTCAATTGACCTAGGGTTGACCTAGGGTTGACCCAGATGAAACCCTAGTTGACTGCCTTCAGCTATAGCTCTTGTGCTCTCATCAATGACTTGTCTCCTTCTCCAAATGACTTTCTAAGTCTATCATAATGTCTAGATACTCTCCATGCCTTCAACTCACAGCTCACAACCCTCTTGTTGACCCTCAGATACCCTCAGCTAGGAGATGGACTCAAGGCTTGATCTGCTGAACTCTTTGCTTTCAAATTCTTTCCTGATGACTTGAATGAGATTGAATTGGGATAATAACCTCTTGATAGGCTTCTAGAGATGAGAATGATGATTGGTCCCCTGTTGAATGACTTGCTATGCTTATGCTATGCAGATGGTTAGTCTATGTACATGACTCTATATGCAAATGCTAATGATAATGAAACATAAACCCAAGGAGTAAGGTTGGGCAAATTTTAGGGTGCAACACCCCAGCATGATTTAGGTAGAATCAAGTTGAATTAAGGTGTTAGTTGCATTGTAGAACGGTGTAGGATGGATTTCAGATAGTTAATTTGAGAATTAGAGACCAATTTAGGGTATTACCATTTTCGGTTGAGGTTTGGTTATGGCGAATCTTGAGGATTTAGGCTGAATAAAGGATATGGTTGAATTCGTGACACAATTTGGGACAAGTTTCATGTATTGACCATTGGCAATGGAGGCTCCTAGAGAGAATTAGGGTTGAGGAAGATGACCGGAGCACCACCGGTGGTGGCCGAAGCTGGGCGCGAAGTTGCAGAGGTTTGAAAGGTAGGAGATGACTCTGGGACCATTGGATCATGGTTGGACCTTTGACTAGAAGCTCATCCAACGGCCACGTATTAATTTCCATTTGTGAAGGAATTCTGATTATGAAACGCACCGTTTCATTTAATCAGTGGTTTTGGGCTTAGTGGATAGATTGATATCTCCACCCCCAGCGGGCCCAATCCATAGTTTGTACTGATTCTGTTTACTACTTGCACCGTGCATTTGTCTATTTTTGTTGGATTTTCCATTATTTTTCATTTTGTACATGGTTCTTGGAAAAATCATATAAAATTGAAAATTAATCCAATTAATCCCATTCTTTTTGCATTTTACTCATGGTTGAGTCTAGTATTGTTTAGAGAAAAAATATTTTCATTTCATGTATTTTCTTATTTAATGGGAATTTTACATTTTAATTGATATTGAAATGGTTATGTTTGATACATAATTTTGTGGAATTTTGTGTGATCATGTGGTGATGATTTTGATCCTAATTTTTTGTGTATGATTAGGTTAGACATGTATGCTCCCATAGTATTTTTCTCACATTTTTGTGATGAAAATAGGTGTGCTTTCTAGATTGACATTTAGGTGCTTCCTTTTAGGGTTTAGGTTTGATACCTCATAATGTAGAATTTATTTCTAGGTCTAATTTGATGATTTGATCTCTGAAATTAATGTGGTAGAGTCATGATTGACCTAGGTTCCCATAGATATTTTTGTAAGATTTTACAATTGAGTTTAGTATTTTAGTTAGGACTAACTTTAGCACTAGGTTTTAGGTGATCCTAACTGACTAATTCAACTAGTTTAACTTCTTTAGTTCCCTTAGATTAGGGTTTTTGCTTTGTTTGCCTTTGGTTGAGACTGAAGACAAGTTGAAGACAAGGTGAGGATGCTTGAAGTTGCTTGAAGTTGCTTGGAGCTTGGATTTGTTTGTGCCTGAAGGTGTCTGATGAAGATTTAGGAGATAGAGGACATAGGGAGAGCCTTAGGGTTAGAATGATTTCTTTCACAAATATGGAAAGCATCTTGTGCTTCCATTCCTCCCAATGACCAAAAGTCCTTCTCAGATATTCACATCCCTCCTTTGGAGGGATGAGTGGCTTTATCTGGGAAGTAGAACTTTGAGGGAACCAGTCTCTCATAATGATGAACCCTTACAGGCTTCCTTTGGTTGTCTGCAAGTTGTTTATCATTTCCACTCATCCTGTTAAATCAATTGTATTCTGGTTTGAGTATCTTGAAAGATGTTGGGCTTGAGTTTGAAGATGAGGACTTCACTGAAGAGTGTGGAAGAGGATGATTCCTTGAGCATTGCCATTGCAGCTGAAGCTAGAAGAGCAAGAAGAGCAAGTTGATACTTGAAGACCCAAATGAAGATTGAGTGAAGAGCTGAGGCTTGAGGACTGAAGGATGAAGTTGATACTTCCAGGTGATTGAATATTACTCTGAGAAGCTGAAGCTTGTAGGACAAGAAGACCAAGTTGATACTGGCAGAGCAAAGAGAGCTGAAGCCTAAAAATTAAGTTGATACTTATAAAAAGGATTCAATTGAGATTGAGTATAGAGCTGAGGCTTGAGGAAGAAGATAAGTTGATACTTACATTGGTGCATTGAGAGCCTGAAGGAATCAAGTTGATACTTGTAGTTAGAAGCCTGAAGGTGGAATTGACTGAAGAGCTGAAGCTTGGAGAAGAGAGAATAAGTTGATACTTATGGATTGAAACCCTGGAGAAGCAAGTTGATACTTGTCATGGAGGATGATGGCCTTGAAGGGTGGTTGAAGTCTGAAGACTGGGTTGCTGTTAGAAGAGCTGAAGCTTGGAATTAGAAGAGAGGGGTTGATCTTCTTTTCTTATCTGTTTTCTTTTCTGTGCTGATGTGCCTTGTTTGACTTGCTTGATGCATTAGAATAAGTCCATATCTAGACTGACTTTAAGCTAGGAGCATGATTGCACTAGAGGTTGAGTTGCTCCCTCTGCTTGTATTTTTACTGTGTGGCTTTGCTTGCGGATATTCGGTAGAGCCCTGCTCCCTTGCCCATGTGGTTTATTTTGCTTGATAGCATGTTATGTCCTCTGTATGATTACAGTTGTTATTGTATTTTGCTTGATAGCATGTTATTTCTTCTGTAAGATTGTTGTTATTCATATCTGGCTTGAGGTTGAGATGAGCTTGTGGAGGATGCTGCCCCACACACATTTCCTCCCTCACTTGCATTGCATGCATTTTACAGTCGTTTACTGTTTACTGTTTGAGATGATGTTTTATCTGTTTATGTTTATCATTGACATGATCCCTTAGGACTCTCATTTCCTTTGGTAAGGAAGTGATGATAGAACTTTAGGTTGAAACCTATGCATGATAACTTCTAGGAGTTCCCTGTTTCAAACTTCAACTATAGGATGAATCCTTATCATGACAACAGTAGGACTTGATAGTCTCCCCTTAGTTGATCCTGTTCTCTTCTCATCTCAAAACAACTTAAGATACAGTAATCATGAATGATTTCTTTCGTACGTTACGAGCCTTAAGCTATCTGAGAAAGGATTGTTGGAGAGCTTCTTTCCAACAGTCTGGATGTTTAGTATGGCACCCTTTGGGTGACATGCGACGCATTCACTCTCAGGTCATAGTCTTTAGTGCGATTGAAATTGCAAACACAATAAAAAACAGTTCTTTTGTAAAAGACAGAAAACAAACTTCAAACCTTTTTGCCCCGTGGGCCCATAATTCAAAGGAAAGCTTTTCTGAAGAAAAGAGTGTCGTTAAACTTCAGCGCCAACACAAACAGGCTTTGTCCCTAACTGTTGGAACTGCTGTTTAACCCTACTCGATAAAACAGATGAATCTGAATCCCCGTAATCCGTATTATCCCGAACTACGTAAGCTCTGATCTCTCATACCTGTTGAGAGCACGTAGGCACAATACTGATGTATTGGCGAGCCACCTTCCCCGTAACCCGTAGTAGGTCAAACTACGTTGACTCTGATTTCTCATTCTCTAATGGAATACGTAGGCATGAAGGGCGACGCTTTGCCGAGTCATTTTCTTTTCTGTTTAAGCTAGCCTTGATAGGTAGATAGATAAACCAACTCGTCTAGTAAACACAACAAGCATGGATCCCGTCGAGTACGACGGACGTGAGGGGTGCTAATACCTTCCCCTTGCGTAACCGACTCCCGAACCCAGACAACGGTTGCGATGACCTTGTCTTATACCTATTCGTCAGGTTTTTCCGATCGTTTCCTTTCCCTTTCCGAGGGATAAATAACGAAAGGTGGCGACTCTTCTGTTTTGCCGGCACCTTATTTTCGCGGAAGCGACAATTACCTATTAAGTTTACATTATTAAAATCAAAGTAGTTCATCTAGCAATGATCTGCTATCCAAATTATCAACCTTTGATTTGATACTTAACATGTTCTTCTCCAAATCAGATGGCTTCACCTCGAGCTCGCCGAGCCGTTCTCTGATTATTCCATCGATCTTCGTTTTAATATCTGCCACCTCTTGTTCTTTTTGAACATTCACTGTCGTTGAATTTGATATCGTTAAATAGCATATAGAAAATGAAAGGAGACCTGAACCGGCTTCCGACATTATTTTCTGGCAATTTACATCGCACTGATGGTAAGGATTAGATGCTTTAGGACATATTTTGAACCTTCAATCTAATTGATGTTCACTAATAAACATAAAGAAATTTCTCATTAGTTGCACATGCTTCAATAAATTGAGCCACACAACATCCAACATAACAGGTTCCACTCCCACCTTAAATGTGTTCTACCTATGTCTTTATTCACCTATGTCTTTATTCAATGCAGCTTCTTCCATATATGCCTTTCTGTGATCATCATTTTAAGTAAAGTCATAATAAAAAAACACACAATATTTAATTATATTGATTTAATCATGGACTTGTGCTGAAATTAAAAGCAGAGAGTTAAATTCTTGACTGTTTTGTTGAACAAGGACTTGTGAATACAAGGAATGACATAACCACCAGTAAATGTGAGTTTTACTATATTCCTCTACTTTCATCATTATTCTGAGATTTGTTATTGATGTGACACATTCAAGGTTCAGCAATGATAACAACATTCAATTTCAATTTCAAGGTTCAACAATGAAAAAATTCAGTTCCAAGGCTCAACAATGTTCAGTTTCAGTTTCAAATAATACAAATTACTACTTGATAGTTAAAATAAAATAGTTTGTTGTTACTATGTTTGATATGAACCATTAGTTTAAGAGCAAAAAGAATGAATATTCATTACCTATGATATTTTCTTGGAGTCATATTGAAAGAAAATAGTTTGTTGTTACTATGTTTGATAGCTCCCCTATTCTTAACAGTATCGATGTCCTTTGTTGCTTCTATGAATACAAGAAAAATTGATTAGTTAAACTATGCATCTCTTTTTCTTGGTTGCAATCTAAATGAAACCACACATTGATCTTCTCAATTACTTTTGCACCTTCGTGAAGGCAACGAGCAAGACTACGATATGAATTCCTGAGCATAAGCTGCAAGGCAATCACGATGTCCATAGGCTCACTTAGAAATTCCAGTTGCAGCGACAACAACAATCTCAGATACAACAACAAACTCCATACTGGATAGCAAGAATATCATGAAAAAGACAACCCACAGAAGAATCATTACATAGACAAAAATACCCGGATTAACAGACTAGGCACCCAAACTCAACAGAACATGCATACCAAATACATATATCCACAAACAAAATAATGAAAAAAATTATTACTGAAAAAGCCTACAAAAGAATCACTTTCATACATTGAAAAATAAGTATAATAAGTTATTTCATTATTTTAAACTATGTATTGATCTCTAGCTAATTCGAAAACATATTACTAAGAAACTTCTAATAATACAGAGCAAATTTTGAATGTTTTTGGGATTTAGAAATAGAGCCTTTACTTGGCAGAAATAGTGATTATAGTGACTCCCAATTGCATAATGAAAAATCCCAGCGACACCTGCATTTTGAGGACTGCAAAGCTATTGCCTCCAAAAAATAATAATAAACTATGTAGTCAACACAACTTATAATGAATTTTAATTCCTAACATAGAAAAGTAAATCAATAAAGTCATCATGATTTCAAAATTATCTAACGAGAGACCAAATGGCTAGAGTCATATATTGTTCTATTATCTACAAACATTTTCCAAAATGGAGGATCCCGAATGATTTATGCAAGGTCTGGTTAGTTAAACTTAGAATTTAGAAAGTAATATGAGTTATATTTATGCAATGCCAATTTAATGATTCATCTTTTTCCATAATCATTTGCTTTATTATTCATAAAAATATGGATGTTCCTCAACTTTGATTTTTTACTATATTATTACCAAAAAAGTTCATTTGCAAAAAGCCTACTAGATATAGTGGTTGACTAATTAGAAGTTAGAACTAGTACAACTCAATTATAGTTTAAAGTGCAAAATAACTTGACACCTATGAACCTGCTTGGTTTCCAAATATAAAAGCCCCCTTGCCCCAATAGTCGCAGGATATATAGAAGCACTATGTCACTTTATATGTTAGAAGCTTATCATATGTGAGTACTATAAGTTAGAAAAACCATTATATATTAAATTAAGCATACGTGATGAGAACATTAAGTTCTTCTATATCCCTCTAACACATAACACGTTGATAAAAAAATATTATCAAAATATCAGGATCTGCAAAGAGAGTAAAGAAACAGGGTCACTAATATGAATAACAACACAAATATTTATTCGGCCTTAATTGACTTAAACATTTTCCACCTGTACTTATAATGTCATATCATATCATCCATAAAGAACAACTTACATAAATAATCAATTCAAATCCAAAGTTAGTAAAATAGTTATCTAAATCTTCGGTATAATCTTGTCAGAAATATCATCATTGCATTCATCATTAGAGACTTATTGTAATATCTCTTTTGATAGACAATATTGGCCTAATTTTATAATCCATCAGTTAGTACCATATTTAAGAGTTAAGACAATTTAGGATGTTCATTTTTCAAAACCCATGCCAATCCAATTTTTTTTTATAAAATTAAACAAGAACAGGTAAAGGGAAAAATTGAGAGGAAATTTGAAAAAAAATTGAAAACAATATATTATGTTATGAGTTTGAGCTGATCGAACATAGAGAACTCTAGAAATCGGATATTTTTCTTGGGACAAATAGGTTACTGAATTTATGAGGTGTGTGTGTGTGTGTGTGTGTGTGTGTGTGTGTGTGTGTGTGTGTGTGTGTGTGTGTGTGTGTGTATGTGTGTGTGCGTGTGTGTGTGTGTGTGCGTGTGTGCGCGTGCGCGTGTGCGTGTGCGTGTGTGTGTGCGTGTGTGTGTGTGTGTGTGTATTGATTTAGTCTAGATGATCTCTCCCGTCTCAATGATGTATTAAAATTTATTATGCATAAACATTATTTTCATGTAGTATAAAAATACTCTTCAAATGCTTCTAGTTATGCTTATAGGTATGTCAGATGTTCAGAAAAATAGCTAGACACCAATTGCATCATTAACATATATATTCACTAAAACAGATATATAAATTTAGAATCAACAACAATATCATGAAAATATATTACTAGCAATGACCTCGTATGCATGCGCCAACAAAAAGTTTAGTATGAGTGCAAGACTTCATGACATTAAAGTTTTAACTAATCGATTTAGTCAACACCACCAACATTTATAAGACTCCATAATTCCCAATTCTATATCATAACACCATCCATGACAGCCAATATCCTGGTGGTTGCACTCTATGTTTCTTTACTTGATTAGTCTGGTCAGCCCCTTTGTAGGCAACCCTTTACAAGCCACCAACAACAAGCTTTGATGTCAATTGATAAGTATGTATGCACTTGGGAAACCCTCCCTTAATGCTTCCTATCAAGGGGGAAGAAACATCTAAGCCACTTGAATACTCATTGAGCACCCTATACTACACAATGTGAGACTTGGGCATCCCATAATACCCAAATCCAGTATCATTCTTTTCCAATTGAATGATCTGGCCTACGATCCTGTCTCCTGACCTTACCCATATTGAATATCATTCTTTTATAGTGAAGTCAGTTAAAGGCATCACATAAACAACTTAAGGTGTAATTATTTCTTATATAGATTAAGGCATATCCAAAAGCTAGTTACAAGGCTCTATTACAAAAAATTATAACAAAACTAGCAGAACTCATTGCGACATCTTTCCTCACCATATTTTCCCTTAAATTTTGTGCAATATGTATGTTATCTTTGTAAGAAAAATTTTAATATATCCTTATAAATCCTGGCTTCAATAAAGAAATCATACTAACTAATACCTTTGTGTGAAGTGCTTTGCAGTCTATACAATCAAGTTAATAGAAATTCATCACAATCAATCCATCACCAACTTTTACATAAGAATGAACAAGTTCTTGAGCTGAATGGTTCTCAATCATACTTGTCTTTAAGTTCTTTGTCAACCATTTTAAAGTTTTACTGATACAAAATGTTGTTTGTGCCTGAAATAAAAACATAGAATTAATGTAACAAAAATAACATAATTAAAAAATTAACAGTTGCAAAACTTAAAAAGAAGAGCTTTACATACATTATAACAACAACAACCAAGTCTTATCCCACTAAGTGGGGTCAGCTACACGGAGCTTTACATACATTAATAGAGACAAATATTGTTTTTCATTATATCACCAACACTTGAGAGCAAAGCAATGTAACATGTTTTTCTCATTTTCATTTTAGCAAAATGTAGCAGACATTTATATACGCATAAAATCAATAAATTATAGTTTGAGAAACCACAAAGATAAGGTATAATCCAAACACAACTGAGTTGAAACAATAACCAATAATTAACTTCAATTAATGGTACACTCATTTTCTTCTTCGGTTCCTATTATGTAAAGCTCTAAGGATGAAGCCTAAAACCTAGGAGATCTCAAATAAAAGCATTCATGTATCCTATCCTTTGTAGTCCTAAACAAAAGAGCTAAGAGTAATGATTGCACAACAAATATAGGAAACATATGCTACTGAACAAAAAAAACATATAGCTTAGATGCTTAAGAGTAAGATACAACACAACTGATGTAAATCAAGAGGAACACAAAAAAGATGCACGTTCTCCCACTCTGATTCGCCAACTTCCAATAATATCTAGGCATCAAACAAAAATGACCAAATTAGGAAAAATCATCCAACCAGCCCTTATACCAGATCCACCCTAAATCAGTGCCTAAACTACTGTGACATACCTTAATTTAGCAGAAAACATCATACTTATGCTTAAAATAACAACTCATTGTTATGAAAAACCATCCCCGCCAACAGCGCATCAAGCCATCGAAACTACAACCGGGAAAAAAGCCAAATTAGATGAAAAATGTAAAACTAAAACAATGACCAGTAAATAAACTCTTCTACAATGAAAACATTGTCTACAAATATTGAATCTTTTAAAAGCCCTACTCACTTCTCTTACACAACCATAATTGACTATGATATAATTCTGAAATCAATCAACCCAAAATAACAAATATCAATTACCCTAAATCTTCAAATTAAACAAATAGAAGATAAATATGAAACACTCCAAAAGAAACCACACAATATAGACAAATCAGATAAATATTGAGACAATTAATTTAGAGTTACAAAAAGAAGTGTAAAACCTAAAAAAAATTCAACGTAGAGCTGGTACGGTGGCGCAAGGGTTTCAAAGAGAAGTTATGATGCAGTGTTATGCAGGCGGATACCTTGATGTGTAGGTACAATGAATCGAGACCCATATAAGTGGATTCGTTTTCAAATAATAAACATTGGAGGTTGGAATCACATTATCTTCCAGCGGTAGAAGCTAGGTTTTAGTTGATTTAACATAAAGAATGGAAATATGAGACTGATTGAAAGGTAATGATAAGAAAATATTAAGAAATTTTGAGACTAAGGGAATTTAGAAAGGATTCATAGTATTGACAAATTTGAGGGAAAATTTAATTTGTAATGAAGGAGGAAATTAGGAGCGCGGGATGGAAAATAGTTGGAACGCGTTATGCCTCTATTAGGGCTGGAAATGAGTCGAGTCGAGTCGAACTCACCTCAGCTCGGCTCGACTCGTTAAGAATTGTTCGAATTCGAGTTCGAGTTCGAGTTCGACACGAACTTTTTTTTAAGCTCAAACTCGACTCGTTATAAGTTCACGAACAGTTCGGTTCGACTCGTTAGGTTCATCTCATTAGGTTCAGCTCACATGGTTCACGAACTTAAAAACTATTTTTTTAAATATATATATTTTTTAGTATATTTGACATTTTAAATAAATATATATATTTTTAAATAAAATATTAAAATAAAATAAAAGTTATCATATTGAAATTTAACTTTATCTTCGAAATCTACTAATTCAAAACCTACACAACTTTCAAGAGATACACTTGAGAGTCTAATTCAAAAACTAATAAATTGAAGATTAAATTTGTCTAAGATTTGAAGTAAATATTTAAACCTAAT